TCAAGGCTCTAGAGTTTAGCGATTAAATTGGTTTTGATTCTCTTGCTACGGGAAGGGTTGGAAGGGTTGAGTTGATGTGGTTGAACCTCTTCATTATTTGGGCTTTCCCAACTGATAATATGACGCATGAAATCGACCTCCATAAGTTCTGCGCTTTCACGCTTCTTATGACCTCTTATGACTTTCTACCACCCACCAATGATGTTTCCTCTCTGCCCACTACATCTTTTCCCAGAACCTACGTCCCACTGCTACTGTAATGAAGTTGTTGAGCCCCTTCAGACGTCCCTTATCAGCTCTTAGTTGTTAACACTTCTTTTCACCTGACATACACGTTCTCATCCCAGCCCCTCACTCTACATCACTTACCACTTTGAACACTCTGCTGCTAAGTCAAAGAAAATTATGAATTTCCGGGCAACCACACGTTATACACCATCAGACAGACTAAGCAGATTATATGTAGTAGGATTATCAGCTGTTATTAATTCGCTCGCCCATCGCAAGCTCTCCCAACGTGTATTGTATATTTTTTCTTCATACCAACCTTACACTGTTACTGCAGTAGACGCGACGCTAGGGGTTTTGCAATAATTAGGAAAGCCCGCGCGTATGAAGTGAGATTAATGACTCAAAACTCGAAACCTTGATGGGAATGACCAATGCAAATTCAGCGGGTGTCATTGGAGATCAACATGGGGAAACTCGACAGCAACATTCAGAGCAGCAGTTTGAATAATGATTTACCCCTTCCAAAAAGAACTCAGAAGATCATTCAACTGCTTCCACATCTTTACGCTTTGCTCGCTAGAAGACCTGGGACTATCATGTCATGCGACATCATTCCAAACCCCGGCACAGTGACTTTCAATTGGGCCTTAGTGAAAGGCGACGGAAACAATGAAGCAAGTGGGAGCAGCAAGATCGATCAATTGAATGAATTCATCATCGTGACCATTTCATCGACGCCGTACTCCATCTTGGCGGTCATGATCGGAGAGTTGTTCATGCCAGTCGCTCTGATTTGATCATCTAGCAGTGTATCGATTCAATATCCATACTCGAACGACATGTGACGGAACCGCCGGCAAAGTGCTGAAGGTTTTGCCTGCATAGCCCGAGACTGCCTAATGTATACTGCAACCATGACGGTGTCAGCGAACCGTAAGCTACTACCAGTTAAGATGACAGGAACGAATATGATATTCATTCTCACTGTGAATCTTGTGTTCAAAATGGAACTGTAATGGTAGCAAAATGGTTGAAGGTGTAGGAGAATGTAGCGATCGTCCAGTTTATTAAACTGTTCATTATGATCGGCCTCGTCAGCCTCAGACTTTCTCACTCAGACGCTCGTCCAATACGCCTCTGTGCGGCTCTGTCGCTTTCTGGAGAAGCATGAATTACCCTTCACATTCTAGCCTCTACACAAGGTCTATCGGAGTGATGTTTTCAACCTCGCTTTATGATCCTCTTATCGTAGAAGCCGAAATAAAAGAGCGGTTGGTTAGTAACATCATTCATAGTATCTTCAGTAGTTGTGATGGCCGGCTGTGCTATATTATGGTCGGTTTGTTGGTTTTGTATTCCGAGTAGTGTGCCTCCACTCATACATCAGGGGGTCCCGGCCTCAACCAAGAATGTCAACTTAATGGAGAACGTTTCAGGTCTACGCTGGCTATTACACTACTACTTGGAGTTGCTACTCGGTCGACATTTGTTTTGAGTTCTATCTGTGTTACTCCCTTTGCTACTAACAGTGCTGTTTCACGTGTTCAAGAACATGCCCGTTCACAATCAAGATGTAGGTTCTCACTTAAAAGTCTCACGCCTTTAAGAAACTTTCAGACTTTGCCATGACGCGCTACGTTGTACTAGGACGCGCTACAGTTACAATGTTGCTGCAGTGCTATAGAAGGGAATACATTAGACGGGCATCAATCGTTGTCGACCGCTAGTCGTAGGGAGATTACAGAAGAATACGAATGAACCAAACTGTGTGATAGGACAACACATATCCTTATTATCATCATGCAGTCGGATCGCCAGCTCACGCCGGTCGTACCGACCAATACCCATCTCTGGCTGGCCTGTCAATAGTATTGGAACGTAGTTGCAATTGAAACGCGTTCTAGCGCAACGTAGCGCATGGCAGCGCGTCGATGCTCGTCATCGCGAAGTTTGAGAACTGAATGTTTATGCTATACGTGTGCTCATAACGAGGTGCTGAGTGAAGCAGCTTCAGCAATAACAGAGATTAGTGTTTCTGTAAGTTATTCGTTGTCCTTTTGAAGAAAGCAAACTTCTTCTCTGGATTGAGGATGGGCGGTCATCGAGGCTCACCGTACGAAGCACCAGAAAACACAATAGAAGGATTCACAATGGTTGGTACTTGATGAATTTGCCCTTCAGAAATACATCACTCGCGGCAGGGATTGTTCGTCGTAGGCATCGTCGCTCTTATCTGTATCAGAGTGACTGAGTGTTGCAGGCCTGTTGACCATGTGGTTGAGCTATATCTCCCAATCTTAAACGTGTCGCACCTTTTATATTGTGTGTAATCTAATACTGCAATCCATGGACATGCACCAGAACAGAGGACCGCAGCAAAGCAAAAAGGTTCAAGGAGTGTGATAAAGAGAGTTGTGAATGAAAACGACCGCAAACAAGGCTAGGAACGTAGCAAATCTTTTCATATTCATCTAGTGCGATGATAGCATAGTGATAGCACCCTATCACTGGCACTAGGTCATCTAACTCTAAAAATGAAGACTTGTAGTGGAGTAGCAGGAAAGCAGAGGGCTCAGAGTCGTAGGATTCTGTAGTTTTCGGAAGCTTACCATTTAGCTACGTATTCGTCAAGCTCTGCTAACCCAGGCACATAATAAAAAACCCGAGAATCTGCAAAGAATACCGAGTGGTGAAAATCAGCACTAGATTGTCCTTCGGGCGTCATACAACGAATGTGCGCTGCTCAATTTGATCCTGTCCTGCGCCGATGATTGGGTAGATTCTCGCAGTTCTCTTAGATGAGGAAGAACGGATGCGAAAGCCTGAAGAAGGGAGAACGGGGAGAATTTGTTGTCGAGGAGGGGCATAATGTTCACGCTGGGTTTGAAGGGAGGGTTGGATCTCTGTGAGCTCACCTCTATGGATTCAGATCTTAGCCATGCGCAAAGTGAATAAATTCGCAGCTGCAGCAGCGTTCCACTTTCTCCGGTCAGAATGCAGAATGGAGAGGAGAGTAGTGATACCCAGGCGCCCTGTCTACTCTGTCAGCATTTTCACACGGCCACATGCCTAACTATAGTCAAGCGCGCTATTTGTCTGCGCCATCCCGTTTCTGATTGTTCTCTACTTCTGAGCGCGTGCTTCGCTGCGGTATACTGGCATCGAAGGAAGTGCAACATAGTGAAGATAGCGAAGGCGGAGTCTTGAGCCCCCATACATAATTGTCCTCCCGCCTCGTTTCCAGTCGTTGTCCGCAACAGGCCCGAAAATTTGAGCGGCCGAGAAGAAAGTGTGTGTTTGGATGCCTTCTCTTGCGGAAGCGCTACTCCAAAACCAGTGACGTAACTACAAGACGACATACCACAGAGCTATGCTCCGAGATGTCGTGTTACTATTCAGTGTTTGGACAGGAGGATCAGTAGGACCTGAATTCATACCGACCTGCAGCTGTGCCTGCAGCAGTGGAACTCTTCTTTTTGAAGGCGATAAAAAGCCTAGGTGATTCTGCAGAAATTTGGAAGGAAATTCGCCAAGTGAACCATCTATGAGAGAAAATGCCAAAGGGAACGTTGGAAACGCATTCGTCAGGCCTCCTCTAGCCTCAAACAACTGTAGAGGTAAAAGACCGAAAAGACCGCGCGCTGGGACAATTCCCGTCGGCTGATTCCAGTAATGAACCTATGACTCTACAAGAGACACTGAATGCATCCACTCTCTGATACTTAGCCCGGGAACATTACTTTTGGCTGGAAAGCCAACTTTAGAGGCAGTCTGGGGGCAGAGTCACTGGAGAAAGGATGTACCACTGAAGCAACTTTGCGCCTCAATCCCTTTACCGTACAACTTTCCGCCGTGAAACTGGCACGGGGTTATCCACTCCCACCACCTTCCCACATAACCTGCATTTTCATAGAACATCGCCGACCGCTCCTCTAGTAAAAAACAATGCTTGGTGGAAACACTACGGCAACTTTCCTATAGCAGTAACAGAATTAACAGCATCTCATTTGCCCTTGTTAACAAAAGGAACTGTTAGGTGTACAGAAGCTCCCTGGCTGAAAATGACTCTTCGACAAATAGGGCGCGCTATTAACTTTAAGCGCCGAGTATCACACTTTTTATCCAGTTTCCTCTTCATTTTATACAAATAAATCAGTCCAAGCAACTAGTTATGTTATGGCCGAGGCAGTAACTTTTTATAGCGGTCGTGGACGGTGAGGTTTCCATGCGGGTGTTGGGCCAGAATGAAAAACTGTGGTCCGCCACTTTATAGCAAATGGAAAAGGAAAGAGGCAAGCGGTTCTTACAGGCGAAACAATCGAAGTGTGAATTCGTGGAGTTCGATGTACACTTGTCGGCAGATGGCGTTCCTGTACTGATCCATGATGATTCTACGGGTCGCACTTCTAAAGAAGACGTCCTAATCAAACAGATGACTGCAAAGGAAATTAAAAACATACAATTGAAAATAGTCAGGTATTTGAACTGCCTCGAGTATTTATTTTGTATGCATATATAAGGAGGGGTCGTACCCAGAGGGTGCGACCCTAGCCGGCGGGCGGCACATGCAGTCATCACCATCCCTCCAAACGGGCGTGTGAGAGCGATGTAGATTAGAGCGCCGCCGAGGCAACCTTTTCATCAATGATGCCAGCTAAAGTAGTCTGCTGGCAAGTGGAATTCAGTCCCTCTGATTGCATCAATCCTTTATTTTTCTCTGCACTCTCTCGTCCGTTTGGCGCTCTATAGTCATTGTGACTCACACACTCGAGCACTCCACAAACGATGCGGCTTACAAACCCCAGTGCCGCTCCCTTACAAAAGCTAATATAGTCGCGACGCGAAAAAAAAGTAAACTTATACGTTTTCTTCGGTTGCGGCAGCGGAACGGTGGATCTGACATTATCAAAGCGGCTGCGTATCAATGCGATAGGTAATCAAGGTTGACGAGCGAGGACTGGCTTCACAAAGGCTGCGTTGCTGGGAATATAGGCCTGAGATGCAGCATCTTGGCGCTTTGTCAATTACGGTAACGCGCGCGGTAGGACCGCAGTGCGGACTCAGGAGATGACCCTTCAAAGAGCTGACTGAATCGTGGAATGCGCCGTCGATCGTAGTGGCGAAAACCGAAGGAGTCGCACGAAAGTCGCGACACATATTATGATCAAAAAGTTTTGATAGGGTTTTTTGAAGGTTCCAGAACTTTCGATTCTTGATCGATACCAATGATCTACCATGTGTTAGTGGTAGAACATTCTAGAACCTTCTCCGTAATGGGTACATATAGGCGCGCTTCCTCCTTCAGCTTGAATCACGATGTCAATTAAGTTAATTTCCACTTCTATTGCTGCGGTCCATCGCTGGTTCGCTCGCTTCAAGGAAGGAGACACGGACTTCGAAGAGAAACCTCGGTTGGGACGCCCCCTCGCCCACTTGCTGTTTACGGAATTATGATATTTT